GTATGAATGATGTTAAATGCAGAACTTTTCAGTAAAATCAGAAGAGATAAGGTGAAAATTACTTTAATAATTGAATTAAAATGTACAAATTTCTTAGATTTTGTTTTTTTATTCATAATGTATATAACTATGACATCGAGTAGTGTTACGTCACGAAACCATGTGATACTACTCCATTGCTATTGGCGACACAAAATGCGTTCAGCCGGACGCCATTTTCTCCACTGACAAGCCATTGATCCCAATTTCTAAAGTAATTATTAAAAAGTTGATGATAAAATGTGTGTTCGATAACTAATGCAAGCTTTTTGTGTTTTTAGTACATGTTCATGGTAAATTATTAGGTTTTATAATGGCTATTCCTGAAAGCCTATTCTAAACCATTAAGATTATGAAGTCATTTAGGCGTAATGAACGGTAACCAACTTATTGTTGACAACAGAGAGTGCCACTTGGTGTTGTAACGACACGGCTGCTGTACTCTATATGTGAATTTCATCCTTGTAGCTTTTGTATTGTTTGGCACAAAAAAACTTAACCACCATCCTAATTTCCTGTGCATTTTTCCTATACTTGGCAGATCTTTTGCCTACTAGTGGAGTCCGCCGTTCTAATAGTGTTTTAGCCAGGCCAATGTAAACATTGAAACTGAAACAAATTGCAGTCGAAAATAAATAGCGTTCACGCAAAAATGAGAATTTGCTTTACTGGTAGATTACTGTACTCGGGGGAAAAAAACTAAAGCTACATTTACACTAGACACGACAACATGATAAAGATATAAAAATATAAACAACGCGATGATATGTCATTGTCGTGCCATTACTGTGTCTAGTGTAAATATAGCTTAATATATATATATGAAAATTGTTATATTAATTGGCATGCTGAATTTTTCATGCTATTATTATTATTATATTATTATTATTATTATTTTTATTATTATTATAATTGTATTTTTACCTCCAGAAAACTGGAAACCATGCTGTTTAGTACTGACAATTATGACAATTTCATCATTGATATATATGTTCCAGGAAACAGTAACCATGGAATTCATGCTCATTACCACTGCTGCTTTATACAAAGTACGTAGAGAGGAAAGAGTATTAAATATTTGTTTCTTATTAGTAATAATATCTATATTTTTTACTTACTTTAAATATCATGATTATTATAAGATATTCATAGAATATATATTGAATACCGCCATAATTGTATTTATTGCTATTGTTGTTTTTAGTCTATTAGATTTGTTTACAAGTAAAATTGAAAAATACATTTATAGTTGTACCATTGTCATAATTTTTTCTTTTTTAATGTATCATTTCAGTTTTGTTATATTTTATATTAAAGTATGTCTTATTTATTTTCTATGTATTTGCTATACCACCTATATGCTTGATATTATAGTAGGAATCAATGAGTAATAGGTATTTGTTATTAATACTATCTATCAGAAGCGGAATCGGGGAGAGGGCCCGGCCGCCAGCCGGCCTGGTCCTCCCTTCTCCTCCCCCCCCCTAAATTTTTAAGAATTAAAAAAAGATGAGAAAAAAAGAAACTTCTACTCAAATTTTGAGTCTAAGAGTGCCATTTCCAGCCATCTAGAGGCGTCATAATCATACAATTTCTTACCTTAGCCCCAACCATGGTGGGGGCTCAGGTAGTATAGACCTTCCATCTGTAAAAGTCACTCTTTGGCCCCATCTATTTAAAATTTATGGATCCGCCACTGACTATCTTTATTATTTGTAATGTGTCATTTCTTCACATTTAATGCTTAATAGGATATCCCGACTCTTATATTTTAGTAGCCTAACAGCTATGAACTGGGATGTTTGTCAGTATTTTGGCCCCGTACATTGGCCGACCTGGGCCATTTAAAGGAAGAATAACATGTAAAGAAATCAGTAACTTGGTCAGGGCTTAAGACCTCCTTGTAATACACCACCTACTACCCTAACAATAATTTTAAGGATATCGTTTTATATTGGTTGCTATGATATATATCATGTTAATGTTTATAAATTTATAAATCAAACTTTTATAAAATATATATTACTAAAGTATTATTGCCTCAATGTTTTTGGTTGTGATTACATCATTTCAATTATATTTTTGTTTACATTAAGGTATTCCCAACTATTGTTATATACTGTACTTACGTATCCTAACAATTATTTTATTGAAAAGTATAGATAATGTTGGAATAGTCTGGTATGAATATAATATCGAAAATTGAAATTTGTTTTTAATAAACCACAATAATATATTATACGCCTGATATAGTGTAGTTGAAAGCACATGAAAAGTCGCAAGTACGTATAATATTTTGTTTTAATTTGTTTTGTATAAACAGATGTCAATTTACAATAGTATAGATATAATAACCAAATTGACTGATTATAAATGTATTCATCTGGATAGGGGAAAAACACCAGTTGGAAAATACACCACAATAATGGAACAAACTATTTCATAATAGGGATATCATTATCATATCACGTCTCCTTATCTCCAGAATCGCAAGTTCACTTTCAGCATCCATCCTCAATACTATTTTGTCAAACAAATTCACTAAATACATTTGATTTGTATGAAAAAATGTTTATGTTTTAATATCACAGACATAAACTACCAATCACAAATATTTTATGGGAAATGAATCTATCCATAATTATGGAACTAGAAATAAAGAAAACCTGGTAACTATAATTAAACACACTATAAGTTAGGCCAACAAAGCACTGCATTTTGTGAACCAAACTACCAAATAATTTTAAACAAGAAAAGCACATAGGAGCTTTCAAAAAAGTTCATCATTTTCTACTTGAGAAGTATGATTCAAAATCATTTGTCTCATGTAGTTGACTGTGGAAATATTTAATTTTATGTTTCTTAAAACAAATTATGATAGTTGATCATCAATTTACATGTAATATGTGCATGTATATTTTATGTTTAAATTATTACATTTATCACTATAAATAATTTAAATATGTTACCTTTCACACAGTTAGATAGAGAGAGATAGTTTAGATAAAACATCTTTCGTCCTGCAGGCTAAATGCACTTGTTTGCAGTAATCATTAATGAATGCCTTACCCTGACACTTGCATGATTGGCGCGCACTTCAGTGTGCCAATGATTAAAGTCTTTGGGAACGAGAATGAGGAGTACGTGAAGGGTGCGGGGGTGTGCGCCATGTCGTAGAGAGAATTTTAAAATGTTCAAAAATTTGGCATGTATCAATGTTAGTATAGTGAAAAAATGGGCCCCCGTGACCATTTTTCGGGGACCAAGGTTTCTTTGCTGATTTGGCAAAAATCAATGAAATTTTTAGCAATGATTAGTGGGCCAGATTAAAATCTTTGGCGGGTCGGATTTGTCCCGGGGGTTGAATACCGGGGATTTACGGTATGCATTTAAGTACAGTGATATTTGAATAACTATTGGGCCCTAGTTAGTAATAATAACAAGAAAAATAAAGATTAAACCAGAAATGAATAAATTAATGAATTAGCAATCGGCGTTAAAACACTCGTTTATAATCATTATGCATACTTAACTGATGTGAGACCACCTGATCATAAATAGATCCAGAGGTCTAGAGGTTTTTGTTAGGGTGGAGGGGGCGCGCTACAATTTCAGATAAGTTGGAGTCAACACTGGTCAGCCTCACCATGCTTGGAGCTGAAGCAGCAAGTTATGAATATATCAATCTAGATTGATCAGCTGTCGGAAGCATTTTGCAAGTGGTTCGAAATAAAATATGTTTTTGTGTTGGCCACGTCCAACCGACCCGAATGTTCGAAATTGAGGGTCGGCATTTTATTTATTTATTTTTTTTTATAACTATAACGAAAATTTTCAATGAGCTAAAAAGGCTACAATGGGCCTATCTTGCGACTGTAGGCGATGCAACAATGTATGCGATCGTTTTGGCTCTTCAATAGATTTAAAAATGGTCTTTGTTGTATTTTTGTGTATTTTCTATGTTTTGGGCATAAACACATAGTTGATAAAAAAAAAAGTTTTTAAAAAAAATCCTACCGACCTACCCATTTTTTTTTTGGACTTTTGCAAAACGTAGCCAACACAAGAATTTGTTTTTGTTGGCCTTATAAGAGCAACTACGAGGGATTAATTAAAACAGAGAGAGGGAGATGGAAGGGTGGGGTGATAAAATATAACAACACCTGCAGTAGTGGTGCCATTAATGCAGTAGCGGTGCCCATCTAAGGATTAATATATACGGTAAGATATAATAACACCTGCAGTAGCGGTGCCCATCTAAGGATTAATGTATAAGATATAACAACACCTGCAATAGTGGTGCCCATACTGCAGTAGCGGTGCCTATGTTCTTTTTATTTTTTGTTAAACAATTCTTTATCTTGTATATATTTTTATGTCTAAACTGTACCACTTTGAAAATCAGTGTAATAGTACTGAAAGTGCCTACAGTATAAAGAATAAATAATAAATAAATTTAAGGATTAATATATTAATTAAAATTAATATATTAATTAATTAATAAAATATAACAACATCTTCAGTAGTGGTGCCCATAATGCAGTAGCGGTTCCCATCTAAGGATTTAATATATAAAATATAACAACACCTGCAGCAGCGGTGCCCATAACTTCAGTAGTGGTGCCCATCTAAGATTAACGTATAAAATATAACAATACCTGCAGTAGTGGTGCCATTAATGCAGTGCCCATCCAAGGATCGCGTAGTATTAAAAAGTGCGACAGAATTTATTACAAAGTGCGACAGACTTTATTACAATGTGCGACGATTATTACAAAGTGCGACGCAACACACCACTACTCCTTAGATAGGCACCGCTACTATTTTAACATGGACTTTTGCTGCGTATGGCACCCCATATCGT